CTTAGGCACAGATGGACTATTATCTGGCTCTCAGGAATGCCCAAGGTCGTACCAGTGTGAGAACTGGAGAGAATCCTCGATATGCGCAAGTGTGATTCAAAGACAGAAGGGGAGAGTGAAATGGGAATGAGGTGAAACTAAGTTTTGGCACATGCAGGACTCAGTTCCAGCAATGCTTTAGAGCTGTTCACTACTTTCCATTAAAGGAATTTTCTTTTTGAACCCGCATTGGTTTCAATGAGAGTTGCTTTAGTTGGGAACTGAGTACCATGGTTCTTACACTTTGTTAATTATTGGGCAGTGAACTTGCAGAAAAAAAAATGTTTTTGAAAACTGAAAAAACCCTTTGCAATTCAATTGAAACAGATTGAACTAGGACTTTTCCCCTTCTCAACAGAGTCTTCCATGAGTTAATTAAAATGTCAGAGGCAAGCAGCCATCACAGAGAACAGAGAATAGTTGCTCATCTACATTCTTTCCATTAGCACCTATACGTTTTTTCTTTTGTACACATTGTTTTCTTCGATGTGGGGTGTGTGTGTTTTTTACTGTTTAGAAAAAAAGTAAATATCACTGTGCTGTAACTAAACATTGTATTTACAACTTTTGCATTATAGCTTATTCATATTTAAGCTTTGCAAAGTATTCAAAAGTGATTTGTAAAGTGAATTGGCACAAACTAAACATCCCATGAAATAATAAAGCAGCTATTTCATTTGGGAAGCCTGCATGACTGCTGTTTCCATTTGCATGTATTTTATTTTACTTATTTAGTATTAAATTTGTGTGCTGCCCATCTCCCCCAACGGGTGACTCTGGGTGGCATATAAATTTAATTGTATACATGCAAGACATAACTTCTGCTGGAACCACCAGCAGAATTACATTGCTGTGCATGTGCACACACTCACAAAGAGCATAGTCTATACTTTACCTTTTCAGTAAGGTACATGGCAGTGGGTGGGGGGGGGGGACTTTCCTTTCAAACATGGCCTCCAGTTAGCAGAACTTCACTGCTCATGAGCTAGGTCAGTTACCCAGTTTCCAGTTGTCTGGACTTCAGCTCCCAGAATTCCCCAGCCATCATTACCATTGCTGAAAACTCTGGGAGTTGAAGACCATCTATCATAAAATAATGTTTAATTAACTGATTTATTTTTAATGAACTACAAAAAACTTTAGGACCAAAGGGAATATATAACAGAAAAAAGAGCCATATAATAACTACAGTTAATAATCTAACATTAATTTAATTCTTAAGTTTATACTTAAATCTTAATTATGTAGAAACATACCATATATGTTTTTAGAATATATACTTTTCAAAAATAGATGGCAAACACATATCCTGGATCCATTCCATAATACTAGGAGAATAAATTTAGTTCCAGTTACATAAAATTATTCTCATTACTGTGTCCCAGGCTCAACAGAAAGAAAGCTTTTCATGAAATGACAGGTTGTTTTAGGAATATAGTTCAGGGTCATGTTAAAACTATAACTATAGTATTTCTTCTCAAAATTATATTGACCTGTGTAGTGACCTGAGACTAACACAAGGCTATAGCTGGAGAGGACAGTTTGTATGAGTGAAAGAACCTTCAATTTTCTTACCATGCCAATATAGAAAACCTAATGTCCATCTCTTTTTAAATGTTCTTGAAGAGGTTCCAATAAACATAAGACAATATTTTCCAATAAATTAATTTCATATTTTTTTTTTGTCTGTGCTCAGTCATTGCTGACCCTGCAGTGACTGCTTGGACGAGTCCTTGCAGTTTTCAAGGCAACTGTTTTTCG